TGTTAATGGTTGTCTTGATTTATGTGGGGGGGGGGGGGGTTGCCCAAAAAGCTCTGGGGATGTTAATGTTTGTCTTGATGTATGTGGGGGGGTTTGCCCAAAAAGCTCTGGGGATTTTAATGTCTGTCTTGATTTATGTGCGGGGGATTTGCCCAAAAAGGTCTGGGGATGTTAATGTTTGTCTTGATTTATGTGGGGGGGGGGGGGGTTGCCCAAACAGCTCTGTGGATGTTAATGTTTGTCTTGATTTATGTGGGGGGGTTTGCCAAAAAGCTCTGGGGATGTTAATGTTTGTCTTGATGTATGTGGGGGGGGGGGTTTGACCAAACAGCTCTGGGGATGTTAATGTTTGTCTTGGTTTATGTGGGGGGGGGGGGTGTTGCCAAAAGATGTTTGTCTTGATGTATGTGGGGGGGGGGGTTTGCCCAAAAAGCTCTGGGGATGTGAATGTCTGTCTTGATTTATGTGGGGGGGTTTGCGCAAAATGCTCTGGGGATGTTAATGTTTGTCTTGATTTATGTGCGGGGGATTTGCCCAAAAAGGTCTGGGGATGTTAATGTTTGTCTTGATTTATGTGGGGGGGGTTGCCCAAACAGCTCTGTGGATGTTAATGTTGTCTTGATTTATGTGGGGGGGTTTGCCAAAAAGCTCTGGGGATGTTGATGTTTGTCTTGATTAATGTTGGGTTCTTGACCCAAAACTCTTTGCTCTTTTTTTTTCTGTTTTCCTTTGATGACCACTCGGGGGGGTGTCCGTGCCGCGGTCTCTTGAGGCGAGACGGCAGAGGAGGTCGCGGGCTTCTTGCAGACCATTCCCCCGGAGTAGATCCATTGCGAAAAAAACCACTCCCACCGGCCCATGGGAGTGCCTTCCCCAGGTACGGAAAAAGATATGTCACTCCGCAAGTGGAACTTGAGACTCATGGCACGGCGTTTTTGGAATGTGATTGGAATGTGGCTGGGGTGATCAAGTTGGAATCGAGCGTTGCAAGAAGCAGCCGCTCTCTAGTCGCCAGACGCCGCCAAGTGGCAGTCCGGCACGCGCCAGCTTTTTGGGCACAGCTTCCATTTGCTCATGACCCGAATTTGATGACTTGATGCTAGACAGCACATATTTGCGAGCCAGGTTCGGTTTGGCATGGACAAATGGAAAACACCTCGGGAATCCGGCCTCGCCAGACGGGACCCTCAAAGCGACGCCAGCATTGCAGAAGTGGGCGCTCGTTTTCCAGATGTACCAAGGTCCGTATTGTGCGTGTGGGAGGAAATCCTGAGGGAGTTTGGGGTTGGTCAAAAAGGACATTCAAAGGAACAAACGACCCGTTTGTTGGGATTGATTTTCTTTGTTTAGGGCACCCAGCAGGAAAACCCCGTGCCTTGTTTGTTGTCTCCCTGGAATTTGAGTGATCCTTGTCACAGACTTCCGTTGCATTGAGGTGTGTTATTAGTTGTTGTTGTTGTGTTTTTGTTTTTGTCTTGGATGGAAAGGGTCACGACGGTTACCACTAGCCACTAGATTGGTTTTGTTTGTGCACCTGATGAAAGTCGTTGAGTTGTTTGAAGGCAGATCAAATTTGGCTGCCCTTTTTGGGGGGAGGGTTCCCCTACTAAAATAGACTGTACGGTGACCTCCATTCCGAGCCATGCGTCCAGTCTCAACCAGAGTTTGTGCATGGCGTTTGCGGCGAAGGGGTCCCGGCTCGAACTTGTACAGGAGTGGGCGGCTGCAAAGTCTCTCGAAGAAAACCGGGAAACGGATGGATGTTTCCGACTGAAATGGGCTGTTCCCAGGCATAACTTGAGACTTTCAATTTGTGTTTGTGCGCCGGAGATTTGCGGCATAGAACATTGAGCATTGTTTAAGCAGGATCAACACACCGCTGTTCTTAGCGATCTCTAAGAGTCTCTAAGTCAATCATTGCAAGGTTCTCCACCACGGAACCTACGGCGACATGCTTCAGGAGTTTTGACCATATATGATCAGTGGTTCAACCAAATAGGAGTGCTTCCCAAGATAACGGAGGATATCCTTTTGGCTCTTCCTGAGCAACCAAATGGCCGACCGTACATTTTGTCGCACCACCACTGCAAGATGCTTGAAGGCCTCTGCAGTTCATGACGCTTACCGCTTCTCAGTCAGGGAGCCATATGACCCTTTATACCCAGTGCAGAGTCGCACGTCTTTACCAATTGGTGCCCCGGCTGCCATCCTTTTTACAATGGTTGTGGTCTCCTATTGCGGAGAGGAGCATAAGCAACAACAAGCCATTCAGACTCATTGACCCAAGGCATAGGAGAGGGTTTGATGACTGCACCCATGGCTGATGATGGCACCCACGCGGGACATCCTTCTGCGAGCCGACGTTGGGGCAAACAGAGGCAAACAAACGTGTGTTTGTGCCCTGGAATAGGCAACCCTTGCCTCTATGATTCGGATCTTTGGGGTGTCTCTCTCCAAAGCCCACGCTTTCGTTCCGGGACACCCAATTTTCGGAAACACCCAGACGACTCACACACCTCGCGACGCACAACCCAGTCGTGTGTGACTCCTTTTTTGCACGGTCAATCGACCGGGCTTGAGTCCATAATGAGGCAAGGCGACTCAGGTGCGTCGAAGAGCGACAGCACATTGACGAGATGGCTTTGAAAGCGGATTCCCTGGATTGGGATCCTTTGTCATGGGGGCTGGGCAGGGAGGGGAGGGGGAGGGAGCCCAAATAAGCCCTTATTAAGCCCTTAATAAGGCCTTACTTTTGGGCTTAGTAAGGGCTTACTTGGGCTCCCTCCCCCCATGACCTTGAGTAGTGGAAAGAGACCAAGCTACGATTTGGCAATGCGACCAGTCTTGAGAAACCTCCATTTGTGGTGTAGAAAGACTCAAGCAGGGAATTGGTCAAGTCTGATGCAAATCCTACAAGGCTGCGGTATATGGCAGCACTATTGTGAGTTGGGAAATGGGAAAGCCTTTCAGAAATATCTAAAGAAACAACAGTGGGTTTGTCTGAGGGTGTTGTTTGTAGCGTCGTGGTCAGCAAAAAGTGGACAGGGCCGCCATTCTTGGGGTTCTCCCCATCTGGATATTTGAACCCACTATTGCTGCTTGGGAAATCGCTTCTGCACCATAGTTGATGGACACACCCCGCTTTCATTAGCACATGTACTCCACTGGTTCAACAGAATGTAGATATGAAAACGAATGGACAACAGCCTCCAGAATGGTGGGTGGACATGCTGTCCACCCAAAGGCCCACTTGATTCTCCCCAAAGTGGGCACCGGGCAGCCTCCTTTTGCTCAGACTTCCAGAGGTCTTTCAATTTTGCCCCCAACAGCTATGGGGTCAAGTCACCAATGTCTTTGCCCTTGGCAGGTTCCTGGGTTCCGGGGAGGTTCTGAGGTGAGAGTCCTTTGCCTTTGAGGGAGCTGGGTTTCCGAAATGAGTTTTGGCCCTGCGGTTGGTACTCATCGTGTTTGCAGCTGAAAGGAAATTAAGGCCCATATGAATTGGCCCCTGCCCCCACCAACAGTGGATGATGAAAAATTGGCTCAACCACCACTGCTAGTGTTTGGCGGCAGGGTCCAAGCCATAGTTTTTGTTTCTTCTTCTTTTCTTTTCTTCTGGACACCCAATTCCATTGTTATGTTCCACTTGCTTGCGACTACTGTAGTGATTTTCCATATTGGCAGATGCTTTTTCTAGTGGCACAGAAAACGCGAATACAAGTTAACAACCGCCGCTCAGCAAGCCAAGGGTGGCGACCAAACGACGCACCCACATGCATATACCTGACTCGATTTCTATGTGCACCTTTGATAGCAGACTGAACTCACTGGGCCTGATCCGTCAACCGCGCCATTGCAAGGGCTTTTTTTCTTTATTGGACTCATGTTGAAGTCCACAAGCTCTCGCATGGGAACACGGTGTGAACTGTGGAATTGAACATTGCTTGGCTGCTCTTGTGCACCTCGTATAAACCCCACTTCGGAGGTAGACAAAGTCATGCATCACCAAGCCATTCGGCGTCCAAGTTAGTTTGTCCAATTCCCTTTGAGTGGCCTCCTCTTCCGCTGTTCGGTTCCCACGCATCGGCACTGTTGAAAAAGGGTTTTACCAGGATCACTGGGCCACTGTGCAGTGTTCATGGTCAGCATGTGTCCGCGCCATGGCTCGAGCCAAAGTTGCAACGCCCACCTTTTTTTGGCCGCGGGAAAGCAATGCCCAGAACCCCACGAGTTGTTGCCAGTCAAGGGGGTGCCTACAAGTTGCGTGGGCGTGGATCAACTCTTTGTTAGCCTATGGACTTGACATGGTTTGGAAGTTCGTTTGGGTGTCAAAAGCAGCCCACTCAGGAAGTGAGAGACAACCTTTTGTAACTTTCTTCGAAGAGTCAAACATTACGCTTCGGGCTCACGTGAGGAGGGATTGTGGCAAATAAGGGGGTACTGCTTGTCCACCATCCCTACTGGATGTGTTGTTTTCCCGTTTCGAGGCGTGTCAGCCATTTCTTTACATAGGGTTTCCTTTTTCACGGCTGTTTCGATGTTCTCCAAGCTCAAGGTGAATCGCCGTTCAAGTGGCCGTGTGTCAAGATGGAATTTTATTTAAGGAAGCGAAAGGGTTCACCAACAAGGAGAGCAGCATGGCAAGCACCAAATTTCATGAACATTCCTAGTGGAATTGAATCCCCAACAGGAGCAGGGAAATCAAGTTGGGACAGCCGGGTCTGCTTGCAGTCCTGAATATTCCCTGAAGTGATCAGTCCTAGGCGGCCTAAGTACAAGCCACGCCAGATGCTTTTGGTGTCATTTTGTTTTCAGGAAGCTTACCTGTGCAGTTGGCAAATGTCAAATTTTGTGTGAGGTTTCTTGATTCGATGACTTCTTATTTGGGAACCACCTCAAAAGTGGCTGGTGGGCATGAATCCCCACCTAATTCATGTCCACCAAAGGGTTCCAACACTTCAATTCATATTCATTTGACGGGCAGTCACAAACTTTCGATCTGGCGTTTCTTTTGATCCGGGCTGCAAGTTCAGCTTTAAAGCCATGGGGGTGGGCCGCATCTGCTGGGAGGCACGTGATCGATGCGGCCCTTGGAAGTCGGTCGCCGGCTTCTGGATTCCTTCGCATTTTGGGGGGCACATGGTGGCAAGTGGCAAAGAGGAGTCCGCACTTGTTCTGTCAGACGTGATGTAACTGGTAGCCAATGGCACACGACCGACGAACTTGCAAGGCTTCGCTGAGGTATGACTAACCACGAGGTTCTTTTCGCAATTCAGCGTGGAGGACTGTTCGAATTTGCAGAGAGGACGGATTTCCAGGGGGTCCACATCATCAGGCTTTGAACCAGCAAATCATTGCCAGTTGGCAGACCAACCCCTCCACGTTGAATACGTCATCAAACGAATCCAAGGTGTAGCTAGTTTGCCATCGCTTGCGAGACATACTTGCCTCAGTTGTTCAGTGGCACCCTTGTTCCCTTTTTTGTTTGGGTAGCTGCCCCACTAAAAATGGTCTTCCCCCAAAAAGGCTTCCCTTTTTCCCAGGGTCACTGAGCAACTGAGTTACTTACATCCTGAAGTCTTGAACTTTGAACTTCTGGGGCAGATTTTCCGAAAGGCACACTCAAAGCCTGTGTCTTTTCTTTCGGAGCAATGCGCTCAGCAAGTGAGTCTAGCGCTCTTTCCATCCAATGTGTCAAAGTTTGGTTTCACCACCAGATCCCTCGACCATACCCATCAAGAATGTAAAGCCAAATAAGGAGTACGAGGTAGATGAGTAAAAGGCAAATGATGGTTCAACAAGCTCCAAGTAAGACTGCACTGCCATATTTATTTTTTCGGGGTCTGGTCTGGGGGTCTCTAGGGTAAGTCTTGCACATGCTTGCTCCTGACCTTCCCGTCATCAAGTCCACAGCATTGGCACTCTCCATTGCATGCAGCCTGCGCAAACAGAGACAATTAAGCGATTGACCTTTTGGGAGCTTGACGAAAGGTGGATCACAATGTTTGGTTCCAGACCTTGGCAAGCCGGTTCACCCTGTAACTGCAGCCAACAAGATTGTTAGACGCCAAGCTAGTAAGATTTGTTCAGGTCTCCATCCGGATTCCCTGTGACAATCGGTTGGGCCCCATAAGTCATGAACTCAGCTCCCAATTGAGAGTGCATCCCCAAAATAGGATGCCCCTACCCAAGCTCAGTTGTTCAGTGGCACCCTTTTTCCTTTTTTGTTTGGTGGCTGCCCCACTAAAATGGTCTTCCCCAAAAAGGGTTCCTTTGTTTTCCAGGGTCACTGAACAACTGGGGTATGTGTCTAGGTCCCCCAGCTAGGTGCCAACTTTTACCGTTTCGTTTTTGGTTGGGAGGGTTCCCATACTAAAATAGACTACAGAATTTGCGTCTTGGTTGCCTTTCAACATCTCTCAACAAGGGCTCCTCCTAATGAAGCGTGACCTTTCCATCAGAACCACACCGAGCCGTCAGCTCGGGTTGGCCTCCGCGCAGGTGTTGCTGAGCGCGGCGCCCGGATAGCCACACGCACGGATTGGGTCCTCAACCCGGGTCACGCCTGTTGTTGGAGAACATTTTACATTTTTGATTATTGTGGTTTAGTGGGAACGCCCCACATAACTGCTATTCATTTATTTATTTGTTTATTTATTTATTTGTTGCTCCCCTTCCAACGTCCCAGCCGTACATAGGTGGGGATATCCGCCCTTTTAGTCCAGTACACGGTTTTGTGTAGACCTTTTAGTACCTGGTGTTGATGTTTTGATGATGTCTCCTTTGTTTCTCACTCAGTGCGTTTTTGCGCTTAGTGTTTGGGAAGACAATTTTAGCGGCAAACGTGATTGGACTAGACCGTGGCTCCCTTCACGGGAGGCTTTTTCGGGCTCTTTAGCCTAAACCAGTGGCTTTATTCGGCAAACTTTCCGGCCTGCCAAGCTCTTTGAAGTCAATTTGTGTATGTCAAAGAGGCACCCCAATGCGAAGGCTGCCCAAGCACAAGCCCATAAAATTGATCCTGCAGCCTTGCCGCACCCCAATGAAAGAAATGTAGCTTTTGGCTTCCCAAGCTGAGAAGGGGTACCCCAGCACAAGGCATATGGTGGTGCTTGTTGCCCACGGCAGTTCCAGGCCTTTTGGTGGCCGCTCGGTGCCAAGACGGCGAGGAGGCGGACGTCTCCAAGGCGCGAAAGAAAGAGCTGTACCCTCGCACCAACTAACATGGAAGTGCAAAAAGGCCCTTTCCAAGAGGAAAGTCGTCTTTCTACAGGGTCTGTGCACAAACCCATGTTAGGTGGGAGGGTAATTCGCAGTTGGAGCCATAGCAGCTGGAGCCAAATGCAGTTTCACTCAGTGCCTGAGTTCATGGACTGTACACTTTTTGGGAGGACCAACTTTGAGTGGCACGATTCACAAGTTTGTTAAATTTGTGTTGGCCGGTGCACTCAGGAAGTGAGCTGACAGTGACTACAAGAGACGAGCGACGAATTAACGACAAAGGGCTTGACCTTCTCATGCCTCGTAAGGTGCGATTCGGCTCTGAATCAGTAGTGGATGGATGGAATCCAGGCTTGATCATTTTCCCATTCTTTTGACAACCATGGTTCTTCTTGGTCATGTGGAAGGGTACTTAGATGAAATAGAACATGAGGAGGATACCCCTAAAGTGCTGGGTTGGTTTGCAATTCCCTGCACTTGTGCGTGTGGGGAAACGAACCAATCAACATAAACGGGCATGTGTTCAGATGCTTTCCAGCCACCGCAAGTGCTAGAGTTTCCCTTGAGTCGTTTGTATCATTATAGACAAAAGTTTGAGCTTAAAGTTGCACACCCTCGTCGTCAATCGACCAGGGATATGTTTAGTCCGTGTCGACATTATCAAACACCCCAGTGCAGACGAGGTCCCCTCTTTTGCACACCTCTGCAAGTGGTCTACAATATGTTTAATTATGTTGTTTGTATCTTCCATGCCTTCCATGCGGGGGGGAGGGGGGGTTGAAGGGACATCCTTTGGTGCTGGGATCTGCTAATCAGGTCCGTTTGTGTCAAGTGATGTGCTTTCGCGTAATACTTCATTTGGTGCAAACATATTCTTTTGTTATGGCTCATAAATGTGTGTTTGTTAATTTTGTTCCCGAAAGCGTGGCGAAGGGTTCTTCCGCGGGGTTCACTTGAGTTGTTCTCATGAGAGTCATTGCAAGGTGTCATTGCAAGGAATCATCATCATGAAAGTCATTGCAAGGAGTCATTGCAAGGAGTCATTGCAAGGAGTCATTGCAAGGACTCATTACAAGGAGGCATTGCAAGCAGTCATTGTTGCAAGGAGTCATTGCAAGGAGTCATTGCAAGGAGTCATTGCAAGGAGTCATTGCAAGGAGTCATTGCAAGGAGTCATGAGAGTCATTGCAAGTTGCAAGGAGCCAAGTGCATGGAGCCAAGTGCAAGTTGCAAGTGCAAGGAGTTAAGTGCAAGTTGCAAGTGCAAGGAGTCAAGCGGAAGTTGCAAGTGCATGGAGTCAAGTCCAAGTTGCAAGTGCATGGAGTCAATTGCAAGTTGCCAGTGCAAGGGGTCCAGTGCAAGTTGCAAGTGCAAGGAGTCAAGTGCTATTGACTTGCGAGAAGTTAAAATCTCTTCTTAGGGCAGGGGGTAGTGCCGACGACACTGAACGAAAATCGACCCTCTGCGGGGATTGAAGTGGCCGAGGTGCAAAAACTCGTGGTTTTTGCGATTTTGTTTTGGTTCGCGCGACCCTCTGTGCGGGGATCGGCGTGATCGAGGTGCAACAACTTGAGGTTTTTTGCGGTTTTGTTTTGGCTCGCGCGACCCTCTGCGGGGACGTGGTCGAGGTGCAAAAACTCGAGATTTGTTTTACGATTTCTGCGGTGCTCGCGCGACCCTCTGCGGGGATCGGCGTGGTCGATGTGCAAAAACTCGAGATTTGTTTTACGATTTCTGCGGTGCTCGCGCGACCCTCTGCGGGGATCGGCGTGGTCGAGGTGCAAAACTTGAGGTGTTTTTACGATTTCTGCGGTGCTCGCGCGACCGTCTGCGGGGATCGGCGTGGTCGAGGTGCAAAAACTCGAGGTTTTTTGCGACTTTTGTTGCTCGAACTGGGCCTCGGGAGTTGTCTCGTGGTTCGCGCGCCTGCTCCCGGGACCGGCGGGTCCCTGCTGGTTCGATTCCCCGCTGATCCGCGGGCGGGCTTCGCAAGCTGCACGGAGCAACTTGCATAGAGCAACTTGCGCAGAGCAAGTTGCACAGACCATTTTGCGCAGAGCAACTTGCGCGGAGCAACTTGCACAGACCAGTTTGTGCAGAGCGCCTTGCCCAGAGCAACTTGCGCAAAGCAACTTACGCAGAGCAACTTGCACAGCGCAACTTGCACAGAGCAGCTTGCACAGAGCAACTTGCGCAGAGCAACTTGCACAGAACAACTTGCACAGAGCAACTTGCACAGAGACATTTGCACAGAGTCAGTTGGACAGAGCTTCTTGCACAGAGCAACTTGCACAAAGCAACTTGCGCAGAGCAACTTGCGCAGAGCAACTTGCGCAGAGCAGCTTGCGCAGAGCAACTTGTAGGGAGCAACTTGCACGGAGCAACTTGCACGGAGCAACTGGCACAGAGCAACTTGCACAGAGCAACTTGCGCAGAACAACCTGCACAGAGCAACTTGTACAGAGACATTTGCACAGAGTCAGTTGCACAGAGCTTCTTGCACAGAGCAGCTTGCACACAGCAACTTGCGCAGAGCAACTTGCGCAGAGCAACTTGCGCAGAGCAGCGTGCACAGAGCAACTTGCAGGGAGCAACTTGCGCGGAGCAACTTGCACGGAGCAACTGGCACAGAGCAACTTGCATAGAGCAACTTGCGCAGAGCAACTTGCGCAGACCAGTTTGCGCAAAGCACCTTGCCCAGAGCAACTTGCGCAGAATGGTCACGGGGCTGTGATGCTTTCGGGCCAACCGTGGTCTAGTTTAAATGGGGCTCTCAATGCCGAAACAGCTGACGTTCAGAAGGTTACATGTGAAACATACATGAAAGCTTGTCAGACATGAGCTGCAATTTGCCCGGGTTTCTTGATGCAACAACTAGACTAATTATGGTTTCAGGCGCTGCTCGTGTCGCTTGTTTGGGTTTAGGGTTATGAGTCATGAGTTGTTCTCCTCGATGCTGCTTCTTTTTCCCATGTTGCCCTTGGGGTGGGGGGGGGGAGTGGGGGAGGGGCGGGGGGCGCTTTGGCATGATTTAGGTTCAAGAGGTGATCCCACTACCGGCGGACCACCTCCACCAGCCCTGCCTGCAGGCTGGGAAGACGGCCTGATTCATAGCAAGCCATGGCCAGACTGTATCTATCCCGGTGCTTCCAGCTGCCAAGTAACCGGAATAAACCATCCATGTCAAATCCTAAAGGTAGCAGACAAGCTCGTTGCGTATAGTAGCAGTGGGGGCTGGAAGCACTAAGTAAGCTTTTGTTTTGTTTGCTGTTGTTGGTGTCTGTTGTTTCTCCTAGCCGGCAAAAGGTGTTTGGTTTTTGCTGGGTCAAGGTCCGAGCAAGGAAATAAAAGAACTGGATGATTGCTTGGCTGCTGGCTAATGGGGTTACAAACCTCCTAATTTGGGTTTGCTTGCCCGCAATGCCGAGCGTACTCTGGCAGAAACGAGTGGCATTTACTCCATAGCCCCTCATGAGGAATTCTGATTTCCAGTTGGTGAATTCTGTCGCAGAAGAGAGTGTCTTAGTCGAGTTGCAAAGCAATCGCTTGCGTGTTGAAGGGTGGTCATAACAGTGGGAGTTCCACAGACACAGTGATTGTCCCAGCAGTTAGCGAAAGACTCAGTTGTACTCCAGGACAAGCCATTAACGAGGAGGTCAGCCATCAACTTGTTTCCCACTTGCATGAGGGGGTGTCGATTTTGTCCAGGTGTTGGCCCTTCTCGTTTCCCATTGCCATTGTGATAAATGAATCGGAAATGAGGGAAGCCAACCGGGGACATCCCTGCATATCCCTGCTTACCTCTCACTATGACAACTCGGATCGACTGGGACACATGCTTGTGCCAGGAGGGTACTCCTTTGGTCCCTTGGAGGGCTTTGCCTTAAATCCTTGAAGTCAGGATACAGGACAGAGCAGGCATCTGTAATCCGTTTCTAGCATTATGACAATTGAACATTTGGATCCTGCGCTTGGGGCACAGCGACCCTGCGAGAATTTGTCTCGGAGGCGTCGACCACCTGTTCTCTTCGGACCTACAAGTCAAGATTTCGTACTCCGAAGTGTCGATTTGTGTTTGTTGTTTTTTTTTGTCGAGCGTGGAGCAAGTTCACGTTTTTTTTTCTATATATTTATCTATGTATATCTTGAAACCCTGGACTTCAGAGCAGTAGGGAGAACGGTTTGGTGTGGACACGTGGAAGCTTGTCCCCCCAATTTGGAAACAATCCCATCCCCGAACTGAATGGGCGGTAAGCTTTCACCTTAGGAGTTGAGCCAGCAAGGCTTTGGGAGTTCTTGATTGGGCGAAAACAACGCAGTGCTTGGATGGTGGTGTACTGCATAGCCCAAGTACGGTGGATGGACGGAATCCATTGCGCACCTCTTTGAAACCATGGCGGAAGCCATTGTTGGTTGGCAATTACCGGGGAATCGAATCATTTCAGGGCTTCTGAACTCTGAACGGTGGTGCGTTGGATTTCGTCCATCAACAGTACCACCCATAGGCTCGGAGGCGGCCAAGGAAGCCTGTACAGTTGCGCCAGGACTGCAACAGCAGCGGCTGGTGCGCCTGGTGTGGAGAGAAGAAGGCGAGGACTCGCCACCGCCGTTCTTGTCGTTTCTTTTTTGTTTGCCGGCGGACTTGAGAAGGTGCAGGATATTTGAGGTAGCCGGGTGTTCATAGCCAAGGGCCATTGCTTTGCTGAATCTGTGGCTGAGATCAGAGTTTGCCATTTAAGCCTGTTGTGCTTGGGCCAAAAGGAATCCCCGTGAAGAGGGTGTCTAGCTTTTGGGAGCTTCCCTTTTTGCCAAAAAGGTTTCCCTTTAACTTTATCCCTTCTCCTGTTTGGTGCTTCGCTTGTGTTCCATATTATGAGGCAGATCACGTCAGAATCGTGCCGGGCTCGATGTATCGTAGGACAAATGTGTTTTGCTCGCTTCCCGATGGGGGTCCAACCTCAAAAGCACGTCTTACCCAGCTGGGTATTGTGTTGGGACTTTGACTTTGCATGATTCATCGCCATAGGTCATGGTTTGCTTTGACGGTATTTTGTGGTACTCTTTACATTCAGTCCTTCAACTCGATGAACTTCGTTGTGTTGTGTTTATTGTTTGCTCATTCCTCAGTTCAATTTGATGGCGCCGTTTTTTTTTGTTTGTTTGCTGAGTTTCCGGCTCAAAATGGTCAGCCCTTCAAGGGCTTCCATTGTCATTTGTCGGTCGCCGGGCTCGAAAGGGGGCTCGAAATTTCGCGTGGCGTTCCAGGCCTGCTGCGAGGCGGGGAAAGGCCCAGAGGAGCCGGGTGGGACCCAATTCGCGAGTGGGGAGTTGGAATGGGCGTGCAGTGGATTCACCTTCAACTGAGGCGAAATTGAAGAGGTGAAATTCATCATGGAGAAAATACCTTCAGTGGAGTTGAAATTATTTGTTTTTCCTTCATGTTTCTTCCTTCATGTTGCCCTGCTGCTTCCTTCATGTTGATAGTTTGTTTTCACCCGGTCCTTTCTCCGCCTTCTTTTCTGATGTTTTCATCGCTTTGGAGCTTCAAGATGAAGCAGTACCAGAACAAGACCGTGTTTGGCTTGGAGAATCTGAGCGGCAATTTTGAGCAGACAAACATGAAAAATAAATTGTGCTTATCAATGGGCATATCTCGGAACAGGTACTTACAACTGGTAAGTTTGTTTTGCAATCTGGTTTCTGACCTCTTCCTGTGTCGGGTCGGGGCGTGAGTCTCGGGGCGTGATTTATTATGGAGTTCTTAAGGGGGGGGGTGTACTTCCTAGAGCTCCTTAGCAAACCCTAGCGCTCCCTCCCCAAGGACCCCTAAAGGCCCCTAAAAGATTCTTAGCCCCCCTAAAGCTCCCCAGCCTTCCAAGATTTAAGGTCGTCGGCCCCAGGGCTGTTCGGAACCCCTCAAAGTGAGTTCCCCAAAGTGAGCCCCAAGTACAGGTTTACCGGGATTTTTGCGGAACCCCTCAAAACCCTATTCCCTAAGCTTCCCTAAGGCTCCCCCTTCCCTAGGCTTCCCTAAGCTTCCCCAAGCTTCCCTAAGCTTCCCTAAGGCTCCCTAGGGCTCACTAGGGCTCCCTAGTCCTAGCAAGCGGGCCAACAAAAACTAATCAGCTTCAATTGGGTTGCTGGAAAACACGCAAAGGACCGAGTGTTTTGCGAAGAGCTTAGTGGGCGGGCAAGCGGCTAAGCCGGATGAGGGCTGAGCCGGATTCAGTACTTGAACCCTAGGCCTCCCTAGGGCTCCCTAGTCCACGCCATTTACTCAAATTTACCCCCCCCCCCCCTTACACCCCCCCCCCTTAAGAACTCCATAAATTTAGGAGCTGTCCCTAGCAACCAACGCCTCAGGTATCTGAAGCCTTGGCTCGCAGATCTTGGAAACTTTCCTCTCGGCCTGCTAGGAAGTGGCTTGTAGCCGCTTGTAAGTCCCGTAAGCGGGTTGCATGGGGGGTATTCCTAGGGGACTTGCCAACAAGGGTTATCACCCACTTACCAAGTAGGCTGGTTGCAACGGAGATGGCCTCTTTCCAATTCGCCGGGCTCAGCTCCATTGGATGATTTGGGGAGTGAGCCTCTTTTTTTTTTTTATCAGAGGTGCTTAAGAACCCACCGTTGGAAGTAGAGTTGGCAACAATCCGTTTACGAATAGCAAACTTGTGGCCCACCGTGGACCATCTCCAAATGCAGCCCAGTTGCCCAGTGGATTCCGCCCTTTTCTCTCCTTTTTTTCGGGAATGGTTCCCCTTTAAGCTCAACCAACCAAAATATGGATGCCCTTTTTGCCCGTGGCCACTGGGCATCGGAGGCAGATTTATTTTTTTTCCGGCACGTGGAGCCAGCACTCACCCTTTTTCCTTTTTTGTTTAAACTAAAAATGGTCTTCCGGCAAGCCCGAATCAGATTCCATATTAGTGGAAGGTGATTGACGGCCTGATCCAAAGACTCAGTTGTTCAGTGGCACCCTTTTTCCTTTTTTTTTGTGGCTGCCCCACTAAAAGTGGTCCTCCCCAAAAAAAGGGTTCCCTTTTTTCCAGGGTCACTGAGCAACTGAGATGATGTCCTAGCGGTTTTTGTGTGTGTAAACCAGAGGATTGCTCGAGTGCGGGAACATGTAATCGTTTATAGGACCTACGATCTTGTTCAAGTTATGTTCATTTTACAGTACTTGTTGACATCTACATCCAAGTTTCGGTATTTGACTGTTTATAAGTCATTGTATATCAAGTGAAGTGCGTGTAACTTGTTGTAGATTTTGGTTACTGATAGCTTTGTTGATTGTCAAGCCATTTTCGCTCATTGGGCGCAGAGGTTCGTTCGCGGAAAGCATGGCACGTTGCAACTCCTGGGCAGTTGGCGGAGAACATGTTGCGACATCAATTTGGGCATTTTGGCGAGTTTGAGAAATGTGTTCGTTTGGCTGATGGCAACTGTTGCAGGACAGCCGGGGGGGCGGGGGTACATCGCGAAGCCTGGCTGAAGAGGGGCACTGGCTGAAGGGAAGGGGCTGGAGCTGAAAGGGGGGGTGAAGTTGAAGGAGTGGCTGAACATCCTGGAAAAGAGTTTGTTCTGATTTGTTCTACATGTACTGAAAACGTGTTTGATAGAAATGAGTGCTGCGAAGGGAGTTGTTAGTTTCTGATTTTCGAGCCGTGTCTGTTGTTTTTGTCCCCATGTGTTTTTTTTGTTTTTCTGATTCTGCAAGTTTCGGTGTTTTTTTCCAACATGTTTGCAAGTCTTTCTGATTGTTCTGCATATAATCCCCCCCCTTCAACTTCAGTCAGTCCCTTCAGCTTCAGCCAGACCCCTCTTCAGCTTCAGCCAGTTCCTTCATAGACTAAACTATAATATGAGTAAATTGAAACACAGCCTGCAACACGGTAGTACAACTCCGTGTTGACATCCTTATTTCGCTACTTGTCTTCCACCAAAACCACCAAAACAAACATATTTGGGCTGCTTGTATTTTGTCTAATTTCTGCTGGGTTGTTTTAGTTTCGTTTGTAATTTTTTTGTATCTTTGTTTAGTTCAACATATGTCAGATGCACGAGCTTACAACTTTCCGATAAATTGACATCGTGTCGACAATTGTTCTTAACGAGTTACAAGTTCGGTCAAGTGTTTGTAACCACTACAAGTTGTCGGCAACCCCCGCGGCTGGACTTAGTAGACTGAAGATTCCTGGCCCCACTGCCGGCGACGCAACGGGGGCAAACGGAGAGGCGTTTTGGCTATTGCAAATATGAGCGACTTCCCAACGCCGCCCTGCCCAAAAAAGTTTGCTTTCTGAAGGAGAAAGTTACCTGGCTGGTTTCCACGGGTGGAGTGCGCGGACTGGATGGTCATTAGCCCCAAACGCACAAAATCAGTCAACCGACTTGCTTGGCGTTTCAGCTGATGATTGTCTGAAGCACGGGCCCCACTGCAAAAGCTCCGTAAAAGCACGCAATCTACCCCTGGAAGAGCTGTACCTCAACCTTTTTTGAGTTCGCCTGCTGCGATCGACGCATGAAGGTTGCAGGAAGTGCTTCGACATGTCCCCTCTGAGAATGGGCTTTCAGCGGGACTATAAAGCTAGTAGGCTCTATTGTCCAGTTCACACATCCAAACAGAAGTGGCCAAGTTGCTCCTCTCCCAACACGGTCCGCGCGCTCACGGAAAACCCGCTTACGGGCTCCACCAAAGGCAGAAGTCAGTGAACGCGGAAAGGGCCGCGCTCACTCTGTCCGTCGTGGCCAGCAAATACGCGGGCGGGCGGGCGGGGGGGGGGTCAGGCAGCCGCGCTAGGGCTGCAACAGCCGACCCGTTCGTGGCGGGTTGTCTTCATTGCGTTGCGTTCACCCGCTTCCCCCACATTGTCGTTCTTCTTTTGCCCCGTCGTTGCGAGTTTCGAAGAATTAGGCTTCCTTTTTCTTAACCAGGCTGGGCTTCAGTTTGGGTTGGCTGGACAGAGCTTGCCCCGCAGGAGTGCGTAGGCGCTGATGCTTACTTCCAGGGCCACAAATGCGTGAGCCCCACACAGCAGGCGGGCCAACTGGCAAGCTTCCTTTGGTTACAAATTCTGATTAAGCAGCCTCAGCCGAACACACCCCCTCTTGTATTACAGGGGGGCCAACTAAATGTGCCTTGGTCAGGAAGTCTTGTTATTTGTTTTTCCTACGTTTTGCTCTTGAGTCGGGAACGTGGCTGGGAGGGGGGGGGTATCTTTGTCCTGACATACCAGGGGTTGCAAAGTGAATGATCATAAACGTGGCCGGCTAGATCTCCAGACTTTTTTTTGTGAGAGTTGTCAGACGTTGAGCGGAAACAAGCATCTCAATTCGAGTTCCGTTGTACAGTTTTCCTGCAGACGAATGCTCCAGCTTGCAGACTTCAAGGACTTGATTTCTTTGTTTGCCCGCCAACAGAAATCAGAAATCAGAAGGAGGCTGATTTCAAGGCGTTTCAGGGGATCCTCGACAAAGACTTCCCCAACGAGCTCCCAAAACGGAGGTGGCCTCACCGAAAGGTGCTATGTCAATCAAAGGCATTTGTTTTTTGCTTTGTCCTATTAATGGGGGTCATGCTTCTTATTACGAGGTGTTGTTTGTGACGCGAAACCTATGGACGGCAGGGACTCGTTTTGGGTGTGTCGGAGTGTGGGTGGCAACCAGGCAGCGCCCTCATGAGTTTTAATCGGCGCGCCAACTCATTGACTCCTGCAGTTTGGTTTGGGAGATGGGCAGCGAACGCAGTGCTGAGATGTTTCTCCCTTCACTGTTCGGACCGAGCAAATTTCGCACGTGTGGTGCCCGATTTGAAAAGGTACCTTTGGGTGCTGTCAGAGAGCAACCTTTCGGAAACAAAGCGTTTGGGGGGGCCGAATCCGATTTTGAGAGACCCACATTCGGTTTGTTCAAACAGGGCGCATGTCTTCCGTTGGCTTGAACAAGTAAACCGACCCGATTTTTCTATTGAAAATGCACCCTAGGCCTAATACCCCAATCTCAACGATAAGCCAGAATTAGGCGACACAAAGCCAATTGTAACCAAACACATGTCCCGCCGCTCCAGACTCCAGTAATGCAACGTGAAACCTTACTCCTAAGCCGAAACCAAACCAATATTGAACGTAATTGTAGCAATACTCAACCAATACTTAGCCAATTTGAAGCCAACGCAGGTCAGATAATGACATTGATTCCTGTTGTGCAAATTCCTTCCGCAAGGATGGCCGCTGTGAGCAATTTCGGGTGTAGGAGGACTGGGAACGCCCCTGCACTTCCCTATATGATTTACTCATTTTGTTCTGCGCAGGACAAATACTTTATCGGCGGGGGGCTGGGGGTTGAAGAGCGCTGCGGTCCTACAAGGGACCCTCAGTCTCTTGAACGTCCCTCGTATGAGTGCCGCTCAATAGGTTTCTGTCATCTATCGCAAAGCGCATGACATGGGGGGCACTCTCACCGAAATACCACCAACATTAGGACGAACATCTCAGTTGTTCACAGTGGCACCCTTTTCCCTCTTTTTCCCGGTGGCTGGCCCACTAAAAATGGTCTTTCCCAAAAGGGTTCTCTTTTTTCCAGGGTCACTGAACGTGGAGCAAGGGCTTTTGAGTTCAAGCTGCTGGTTCGGAGTCGTTTCCCATTGTGAGGCTCTGGAGAAGGTGGGAGTGGCGCCGGGCTGAGATCGACTCAGCGCAACTTCGCAGCTTGTCGTTCGTTTGACTGCTGGCGGTTCTCAAAACTTCCTGGGGCCTCAGGAAGTTGGCATTGCAAGGAGTCATTGCAAGGAATCATCATCATGAAAGTCATTGCAAGGTGTCATTGCAAGGAATCATCGTCATGAAAGTCATTGCAAGGATCCTTGCACTTGCTCCTTGCACTTGACTCCTTGCACTTGCCACTTGCAGTTGACTCCATGCACTTGCAAAACTCAAGTGAACCCAGCGGAAGAACCCTTCGCCGTGCTTTCGGGAAAAAACTGCCGAGATTGCGCCAATTCATGTACCTGTGAAGTAGAGATCCCGGAAACAGCGACAAGTTGTCCCTCAGCGAGCCAGGAAAGGCGACTGGCGTATTAACTCCTACATCGGAGCTCTGACTTGGCTGGGCTCAGTGCCGAGGATTGCTGGACTGGCTTCCTACGGAAGCCAACACTTCAGCTCGCCCCATTGTAAGAAAGCCAGCCCCTTCAAGCCCTTCAAGTGCTAGAAAACGGCAGCCCGACCAAAGAGTTGCACTTGACTCCATGCACTTGCGACTTGCGCTTCACTCCTTGCACTTGCAACTTGTTCTTGACTCCGCGCACTTGCAACTTGCACTTGGCTCCATGCACTTGGCTCCTTGCAACTTGCAATGACTCTCATGACTTCTTGCAATGACTCCTTGCAAGGAGGACTCCTTGCAATGACTCCTTGCAATGACTCCTTGTAATGACTCCTTGCAATGACGTCAAGTGCAATTGACTTGCGAGGAGTTAAAACCTCTTCTTAGGGCGCGGGGTAGTGCCGACGACACTACACGAAAATCGACCCTCGGCGGGGAGTGGCGTGGTCGAGGTGCAAAAACTCAGGGTTGTTTCGCGATTTTGTTTGGGGTCGCGCGATCGGCGTGGTCGAGGTGCAAAAACTCGAGGTTTTTTGCGATTTTGTTTTGGCTCGCGCAAGCCTCTGCGGGGATCGGCGTGGTCGAGGTGCAAAAACTCTGCGGTGCTCGCGCGACCCTCTGCGGGGATCGGCGTGGTCGAGGTGCAAAAACTCAGGTTTTTTTTCGCGATTTTGTTTGGGGTCGCGCGATCGGCGTGGTCGAGGTGCAAAAACTCGAGGTTTTTTTGCGATTTCTGGCTCGCGCGACCCTCCGAGGTGCAAAAACTGGAGGTGTTTTTTTCGATTTCTGCGGTGCTCGCGCGACCCTCTGCGGGATCGGCGTGGCCGAGTTGCAAAAACTATGTTTTTTTTAGATTTCTGCGGAGCTCGCGCGACCCTCTGCGTGGATCGGCGTGGTCGAGGTGCAAAAAGTCGAGGTGTTTTGCGACTTTTGTTGTTTGAACTGTCGGGAGTTGTCTCGTGGTTGGCGCCTGCTCCCGGGACCGGCGGGTCGCGGGTTCGACTCCTCCAAGCTGCACGGAGCAACTTGCGCAGAGCAACTTGCACAGACCAGTTTGCGCAGAGCGCCTTGCCTAGAGCAACTTGCGCAGAGCAACTTACGCGGAGCAACTTGCACAGAGCAACTTGCGCAGAGCAGCTTGCACAGAGCAACTTGCAGGGAGCAACTTGCACGGAGCAATTTGCACAGAGCAACTTGCAGCGAGCCACTTGCAGGGACCAACTTGCACGGAGCAACTTGCGCGGAGCAACTTTTGCAGAGCAACTTGCGCAGACCAACTTGCACCGACCCGTTTGCGCAGATCACCTTGCCCAGAGCAACTTGCGCAGAGCAACTTGCGCAGAGCAACTTGCACAGAGCAACTTGCACAGAGCAGCTTGCACAGAGCAATTTGCGCAGAGCAACTTTGACAGAGCAACTTGCGCGCAGCAACTTGCGCAGAATAACTTGCACAGAACAACTTGCACAGAGCAACTTGTACAGAGACATTTGCACAGAGTCAGTTGCACAGAGCTTCTTGCACAGAGCAACTTGCACAACGCAACTTGTGCAGAGCCACTTGCACAGAGCAGCTTGCACAAAGCAACTTGCGCAGAGCAACTTGCGCAGAGCAACTTGCACAGAGCAGCGTGCACAGAGCAACTTGCAGGGAGCAACTTGCACGGAGCAACTTGCACGGAGCAACTTGCACAGAGCAACTTGCGCAGAGCAACTTGCGCAGAGCAACTTGTGCAGAGCAACTTGCGCAGACCAGTTTGCGCAAAGCACCTTGCCCAGAGCAACTTGCGCAGAATGGTCACGGGGCTGCGATGCTTTCGGGCCAGCCGTGGTCTAGTTTCTTTTTTTGTACTTTGGTGAGACTTTGATACTATCTTGAGCAAATGGGATTTGTTTTGTGGGTTGCTGGTTGTTGCGAACAGCAAGGGGGCGCCACAGGGTACCCTGTTTTCTTAAAACGGAAAACACGAATTGTGGGAAGCCCATGCCCCAGTTTGGTGCGGCTTCTTGAAGATGATTTTATAGGCGCAAGGTTGATCTTTGGCCATTTCAGGGATCCCCTAGTTGTGAAGCCAGTCGGGAATTTCCGGGAACCCTTACGTCAAGCAGCCAATCAAGTGATCGCTCAATCGATCAACCAATCGATCAATCGATAGATCGAACAGTCGACCAATCAATTGATCAATCGATCCCATCGCAAGTTTTCAACTCTTTTTGATGCGTCGCGCCTAGTCCCTCATCCAGCGCGATCGATCAATCGGACATTGAGGCGGCGAGTTAACCTATCGAGCTTACAGGCGGCGTGGCGTAGGCTCGAAGCAACGTCTCGCTTAATCTCTTATACCAATCAATCAGTCAGTCAATCCATCGCTCTATCATTCGATCAGTCGGTTGCCGATCAAGCTCTAAGGCAGCATGGCTTAACGGAGCCCGGTCCATTCCCAACACAAGGGTGATTCTCTATTCAACTAGCAAGCTTGGACCCAAACAGTTGCTGCTTTCCAAGCCCAAGTTTTGGGCACGGAGAACCGAGGACCATATGGCCATGGGCCAAAAGCCATAGATACCCCGAGTGAACATCCCAATCCCCACTAAAATAGGTTCTAAAATGGGTGGTGCACGCACCCCAACCATTGGTTTTAACCCACAACCATATGTTTGGTGCACTGAGGTAGACTTCACCTTCGACATGGACGGTGTCTACTTTGCCGCTGTCTTGGCGCCCGGCCCCAAGGGGCCTCGGAGTCGTTGGCTCTGAAAATGTCCACAGCTCCATGCGAAGACTCAGTTGCTCAGTGGCACCAATGATTTTTCCCTCTTTTTTGGTGGCTGCCCCACCAAAAATGGTCTTTCCCAAAAAGGGTTCCCTTTTGTTCCAGGGTCACCGAACTGAGCAGAGGGCGGTCATTTCAATGAGCTTGGGCCCAAGGAAAGCATTAGAACTAGAGAAGGACCTAGGCCCACAGACGCTACGGAATGTTGACCCCATATTTAATCAACCAACCCGCTAATTAATAGGTTAGCGTCCAAGTGGGTTTTGTATGGAATCATCACTTTTGGAGGGAAACACCCCCCTATTAATAAGCTGGGCTTGATTAATATGGGGTCAACATTAACCACTATGGCTGATTTTCCACTGGTAACCGCAAGGGGATGGATACGCATTTGCGGCGGAGGATGTATGTTTCTGTTGTATTGGGAAATTGCCGCGAGCGGTGAACATGTTGTTGTAGTGGCACCAACAACGCAAGCGTGATACATAGTCTAGTAGAGTTATTCAATGCACATTGACACACTCCCTCCCTCCTGACTAGGCTTTAAAAAGCCTGGTGAGTACATTGGTGGATGTTTCCTCCGGATTCCCTTGAACAAGGGACACCCTCTCTCAATCAACTACAAGGTTGTTGATCCTCAGTCAAATTAGTGGGCTGGAGGCTGTATGACAACAGCTTCCAGGGGGTGTTGTTTGGGATGTTTACATGTCGCCCGACAAGTGGGCAAAACCCAAGTGTGCGTTTGGAATTAGTGAATGCGAGCTACGTTTGCTAACCCCAATGCGAATACTTTAGGCAGAACGAACCCGCTTTTCCAGTCGGCGGGTGTTGCAAGAAATGGGCGCAAATTCATTGGTGCAACGTTTGGGAAATTTTAGAGGCCCCTGAAGAAATGGCTATGGTTTTTGAAGGAGTAACATCCTCCGAGTTGGCTGGTGCCATTGAGGAGTCAGGAGGCAAGGATGGCGGCGCCTGGGCTTTCGTGGGGCACGCTGAGTCACACTCGGCAAGGACACGGAGTTTCGGTTGGAGGCCGCAGTCCTCCAGACCATCCGACGCAACTTCGCTTGGTGCCGTTTCACTAGGCTGCGTTGCGCAGGTCGGAGACTTGCTACATCGCTGCGAGCTAATTACTACGGCATCGTGATGCTGGCTCTTACTTGGCTCCTACGAATACTGAGCTGCCTAATGTGGTAGGCGCCTGCAGTCCCATCGCCTGCAATGGTGCGAGGGGTAAGCCAATAGACTTTCCTAACGCACAAGCAAGAACTAGGGTGAGGGCAAAGTACCAGGCACCCTCACGCAAACAAAGATGGACGTGTGCCGGCTTTCCCACTAAACGGGGCCATTTTGCAGTTTTGGCGAGACCTACCAAGCTGCCCAGAAATCTGGTTGGAGACCTGAGCAAAAACAAGATTTAGGGTAGGCGGCGTTGAGTCATAAGATCCGAGTTATGGCAAAGCAACATATTTTGTGTTACTTGTTCAGAAAGGTTCCTTCTTGAGCACGAGTACCTCATGGAATGCCTCCCCCTGGCCTCCGGTTCACATGGGGTTGCCGCTTGGAGCTCTATCGGGAACGGCCGCTACCGAAGGCTAAGAAGCAAGTCCTGGCATGCAGCTCGTGGCACTTCGCCCACATGTTGTTCCAGGTGTTGCTTCTTCCAGCCAGTGGGAGGCAACATGTTTTGGGGCTCTCTGGTGGACTTGTCCGAAAGAACACAAGAGGATGCGACATGCAGTCGTGACCTTTGGGATTTCACTCAATTCAGCTCGCCTTTTGGGGAAAACAAGGTTAGCTCCTTCCGTCTCGGCTTTTCACAGGAAGCCGGATTTCAGGGAACACCTCATCGAGCACCTCAAGGCGCGGTCGAGGCAAGGTGCATGTCCTTCAAGACTATTGAATCAGGGTCTCTTTATCGTTGTGTATGGATATAAGCAATTGACATGCAGAACCTTGTAGGAACCGCAAATTTGTTTAGCTGTGGCAGGGTTACCGAGAAAGGCTTTAAAGGATGTCTAAGGCGTCAACATGATTTTTATCCAGGCGTCCAAAAAGGTTGGCTACCCCCTGGTGGAAGTCTTTGCCATTGAGGTAGTAGAGGTCTTCTTCGATGTTGGGGGAGGTCGCCCATTCGGAGACGAGCGTATATTATTATACTCTGCCCCAAGGCTGCAGACACACAGGAGGGGGACGCAAAAAGGCTTGCAGCCAAAGAGAGGAGATTTGCGTGATCAGCACACTCATCGACCATCAAAGCCCTCAAGTCGCGGGTTGAAGGGACACCCCAGACTCTGACTTTAACCCCATAAACACGCAGAACAATGACCCCCCCGGTTCAAGGAAAGGGTGTCCAGCGGCCCCTGGCAATGGCAATTTGGGGGCACGCGTTGACGAGTCGGGCTTCCAGATTGAGTCTTTCAAGTGGCCGTCGAACTTCGGGCCTTCCAAGTTTGCAGCCCAAAAAGATGCTTCCAACCTGAACTTGCTAAAGACAAGAGTCCGGAGTTCCAAGCCATGGCAGAGCCCACTTTCCCGGAGTTCCATCCACTGAAGACTCTCTTCACATCCTCCTAGGAACAAAAGTAAAGAATAATAACCCCAGCAAGGCGTTATTGTAGAACAACCCCAGAAAAAGGAATAATTAAAAATCATTCCCATGGCTCAAGTTGGAGCTGCCACGCGCAATCCCCACATGGATGCCCTCTGAAACCGTGACGACATTGCTCCAAAATCAGAACAGCCAGAGCAACCAAAAAGAAGCAGAACAACCAGAAGAACCCCAGAAGCAGAACACACCCAGCATCACCGAGGTGTTTTGCTTCCGGCGTTTGCTTTGTAGCGCTCTCACCACTGTGCATTTTGTTCTCCGCGTGAGACCTGGGTGAGCCATTTGCTGTTGTACACGGTGCAGCCGCAGCACGTGGGCGTGGTGCTCTCCCGAGGCAGGACTCCGCTTCCGGGTTCGGCGTGGTGTGTTTTACCGCTGGCGAAAATGTGGTGTTTTTTTGGTTTGTTTTTAAACCAACCAACAAGGGGACACCCAAAAAAGAGAAACACCCATGTTGTTGAGGTTGATCTAGCCTTATGTTGGATCATGAGTGTTTTAACCAGCAACCAAGAATTGGCCGACGTGATAGACATGTCAAACTCTTTGGGACATCCCTGCTTCCAGCAACAAGTAACCAGCTGTTCGGCTTGCGCTTGGGGCAAGGGTCGTTGTGTTTCTGCAAAGCCCAGGTTTGGTTCTCCACTTTGTTTAGATGTGTGTAAGTTCACAATGGTGGGCCTTTTCTAGTTGGTATTAAAAGGGAGCCCCGATTGTGAGAACTACCCAGGTGTTGTTTGGCGTGTCCGTGGTTTTTCAGGGAGCCAGTTCTAACGCAGCATTTTTGACCGATTGGTTCACTTGCACTATTTGGGCAATCAATCGGATCAGTTGCATTCACGGGTCCGCTGCAGAAGATGATAGGCAGGAAGCAGGCAACTCATGGTCCGTGCACACTTCCCGAAAAAGTTTCTTAATATGGCACAGCCCACCAATGCGACCAAGTCCGCCAAAAGGCCAAACATCGAGGCTGAAGTTTGAGGACGAAAAACCATGCATCATGGCTAGTGGACACAACCACAACTCTGTCCACCAAAGCGGGGTCTCGTCCAAAGCTGTTTGTTTTCAGGTAGACTACTAAATATGAAAGAGATTGAACAAGAATCAGACTTCTTCCTTTTTGTGCACCCCAGATGTGGACCAAGAAAGGGTCCCTCAATCTGTAGTTATGCCCAAATCCTGAGTTCAGCTTGTACGAACTAGCCCGCAGATGTTGCGAGATTTTGGGGTAATGATGTCAGGGATGCTGATGGTAGGTAGTTCTGTTTGAAGTCTAGGCCAAAAAGCTAAACAATCACCAAGACTCACGGCTTCATGAAGATGATCTCACTCGCCAAGAGCGAATCGACTTGTCCGCCTTCTGTTTTGGCAGTCTACATTTGTTGGGCTTTGCAAAGGACCTTTGAGTTCAGGACCCTGGCGAGCAAATGCAAATTGTCTACATGGCTGTGGGTCAAAATCCTGTACTCCTGGTGAACATCAACCTAGGTGGCAAATGGATGTTCATTCGCCCCAAAATGGAGCCATAGGTTATGCCCCATGGCCACATGAGCCAACGAAGCCCGTTAAAGATTGTTCCCCGATCGGAAGTTCCCGAAGCTCCCAAGGCCCTGTAAGCTGGCCGTGGCTGCCCCATGAACCCCACTTCACCCCCCCCCCCCCCACCCCCGACCTTTTCCCCTTTTTGTTGGGGGGGTCTTTACTACACGGGGTCAACCCAACGAAAGAAAGGGGGCCCATTTTTGCTTGGTTGCGGGGCAACTGGGGAAAAGCTGCGGGGCAACTGGGAGCAAGTCTCCCTTATCAGGGGTCCAACCCTAGGTTGTCCACGACGGTCGCCCTTTTGATAAGTCAAATCTCTTCTCGCACTCGAGTGGAACTGCTTCGGCAGGGCGAGAATCAACTGCGCAATGTCTGTTTTGTGCTTATCTTACCGATGAGTTCACACAGATTATAGAGAACTGTTTGTTCGATGATCAAAGCCTGCGTGGCAGTTTTGATGTCAAGTGTGTGTGTGTGTTTCAAACTTAGGGACTCTCCATAATGGCAACGACTTTCTTATGACATCCTTGAAACCAACATGGTGTGTTCCCCGAAAGGAGCCACCCCTATGTTTTTGATATGTTGCGTTTGGGCCCAAAGGGCAAGTAGTTCATCAAATCCCTTCCCAGTGATCACAGGAGAAGACAGCTGTGGGTCTGTTTTTGTTTGGGAGACCCCACCAACGGGTGGTTTCCCCTCGACACACCACCGAGACACGTCAACTTCCGACACAAAGCTTGGCCACGCCCCGGCGCCCCGGCGCCGGCCACAGGCGACGCAAGCAGAACTCGGGTGAGTCTAAAGGTGATGGCTCGGGCCCCATTTCGGCCAGCGGAAATCGGGTGAGGCCTCTCTCTGCGTTGCGCATAAATCCGCTGGCTGCTTTACTAGGTTCCAAGAATATGTTGTATTTTCCCTCATTGGCCTTAAAGGGAATCTATCACTACCGGCCATATATATATATATATATATGTTTTGTTTTTTCTCCGGGGGGCTTAAGCAAATGGAAGGTAGGTTCTACTGCCTGATCAATTTCATGGGGTTTATAGTAAGGCCCGATATGAAGAACAAGTCAGCTCAGGTGAAACAGGCACTGCTCAAATGAATCTGCCCAGATGAAATTTCCTTTGGTGTGTATTCACATGTTGAATCATTGCTAATGATACACAATCCCCTGGCTGATGAATAGGTGGTGTCCAAGTTTAGAGAGGATCCTCCACTATCTTGGCTAGCGTTCTCCGAACCCCTGGTGCATGAGCAGGCGAGTGCTTCCAGTTGACCACCATAGAAAGCAACCACTCTAGAATTTGATTCCCCATTCTTTTCAACCATCGTTCTTTCCAAAAACCGGCGGTTTTCCCTGATGGGTTTCCGGAGGTTTTTTAGAAAGATTCGGATCCCTGGAAAGAATGGGGTAGGTACCCCTAGAACCACAGGAAACAATGCAAAACTCCCGTGGCAACCGGACGCACCGTGAATTGCAGCTACATGAAGCCCCAAAGCTTCAACTTGGCCATCGCATCATGTTCGAATACCTGCAGCGTCTGATCTTGTGAGCAAATGTCAGCCCTGTGCTTCCTCGACTATTCTTTAAATACCCTCGACCATTTAAAAAACGAAAGGCTATAAAAGTAATGTCCCTCGACCATTAAAAGTAGGTCTAGACAAACTTGGCCAACTCGAGACGGCTGGCTCCTGACATCCCCACGCGCTTCTGTGCAGTGAGAGGTTGAAGAACTTTATTGCCGCCTTTTATGAAATAAGCTAAGTATGCTTTACAGCGCTTCATCCCGTTGTAATCACACGCCGTCACCATGCTGTGTCAATTTGGCTTGTCCCTCACATGCCCGTGCCTGTTTTTCCACTTCTTGTCCACAGCTCCACAGAGTCTGATCGCGTGTTGTTTGTTGATTGTTTAATCGTTTTCGAAAGAAAATGAGGCGTGGACAAACCATGGACAAACCGTGGAAAGTACGTTTTTTAGCGTGGAAAGTACATTTAAAAGCGTGGACCACCATACCCCCAGGAGCCAACAACGCATGTTTGATCGGCAGCGATGCCCCGACGCCACTAAGTTTGCAGCATTTTTCAAAAATGCCTGACTTCAGTACCAACATGCGAAGAATCTATGCACGCCTCTACAGTAGGCGGGACACCTGGCGATTTTGAAAAGTGATGCGACCATACATTTGGCAAGCCGTGGAATGAGTGGCTTGGGTGCAGTCATTTGCAGCTGGGAGGATGAGGGCGGCGTGACTTTCAGTGACCTGACCCTAAGCAATTCTTGGGCAACAAAACAATATTTTTTGGATATTCAGGGCCAGGCGCAAAAAATGGTCTTTCGGCAAGAAACAGTCTAGCAACCTCGACCATTCTTTTAATGGCCTTTGGAAGGTTAGGGTCAGGTAAAACGTCAGAACATCGTATTACTCTGAAACACTTCTGAAACTAAACATCTTACTTTTGTGAGTATCCCTAGGCCCAATCAATAAATTAGTTCTATTAACGCATGTTCTTTGTCACACCTGCAATACACCGCCGCTTTCCAAGTTCCGGCCTGTGGGGTCTTTTGGCTGGAGGCCGCCCCCGGCTTTTTTGCGAAACGGGAAGCCAAAAGGAAAGGTATTTCTTGGGGGGAGGGAGCCGTGTTTATCAGGAGGAACGAGTTCACCCTGGACCCTTGAGACGTAGCGAAAAGCGCGAATTCCGGAACCTGAGTCCGAGGTGCCTAATGCTGGCCGCGCTGGAGTGATCCTGGCGGAGAATAGGCCGGGGCAAGGGAGTGATCTTCTGTGCATCTATATGGCTGTGGGTCAAAAATTGGTACAAATGGAACCCTGGTAAATGGAACCCATGACTAAAACAGGCGGTCCCCATGTGGTTTCATTTTGATCCACAGCCATATGGGTGTGTTTGTGTTTGGCAGGTGCCCTTTTTCGGCTTGGATTACAGGAAACTTAACAGGAAAGCTATCATTTGAGTGCGTCCCCCTAGATTGACATAATGTCCAATGGGTTCTATCGAATGGGTTCGATCGGAAGCTTTGCACGTGATTGCCCCTTGCAAACGATCGAAACCCATTTATTGGATTTAACAGAGGAAATAGTCCCCAAGTTTTGTTGTTTTCTGGAAGACTCTCTCCCTTTGCCCCTTTTGTGGTGGTTGACTAGAAGGATCCGGACCTTGTTTCCATTGTCAGACTTCACCTTCGCCCTTTTCTTTGGTGCGAGCTGCGACGGCCCGCGTCGATGAAATCGCAAGTCCGTTGCCGAGGTCTCAGAGGTGGGACTTGCGATGGTTTCGTTCCCCTTTTGGGGGATCATGGCGCTCGACGCGCACAGAGCAGTGTGGACCTTTAGGGGGATCAACAGGTCCCATGAACATGGGCTGATATGGAAAACCACTCAAACCATGATATTTCCCACTAGCTATAGAGTCAAAAGGTCCCATGAACATGGGATGACCATTAGGGCAAACAACTAAAAAACATGAGATTGCCCACTCATGATAGAGTTGGGTGCGATGGGCTATCGTTCTGTTGCCGACATGAACTTCGAGGGTCTGTCTGGCAGGCGTGTCAGTGTATAAGGATATTGGCGGGGTGCTTTGCACACACACCGGACACCGAGCAAGGGTTGTGTTCGCCACAGTTGAAAGCGGAACAAGGATATTGTTTAACTTGCACTAGAACTCACTGTAGATAACTTGCTTAACTTGCTTGTCTTGCACTGCTATTGCTTAACAAGAAACATGTTTCCACCTTGCCCTTCCACGACTGTTCAGGTTCTGCCGTGCCAGTGGGCAGGCTCAGATTCGCGGAGACGCGGGCCGCCTCAGTGTTTTCTCGCCCGCGAGGGAAGCAGTCCCGGGGTGAAGGCCAACATCGCATGTTGAGCAAATTGAAAGGGACCTTCCTTTTGGTGGGGTGATGTTTCGAGGCTGCACAGAAGGAACTGTCAGGCGAAACACCCAAAGCGAAGCGCCAGTTGGTGGGCTTTGATTTGGTGTTTCCCTGTTTGTTTCTCATGCATACAATATCCTTGTCGTTCTGGTTTCCCTTACGTCTCCGTGCAATTTCTTGCCTCGTGGTTATTATTTTTGCATGTGGTTTTGTTTCTTGGTTCTGCTTAGTCTCGTGCCTTTTTTTTTCTGTCATGGTTCCGGATCTGGATGTTTTGGACAGGATAGTTGTTATGGGCTAGGGACGGTCATCACTAGAAGCTGTCTGGCAACGGATCAGATTGTTTACGCAGAGTTCAATTGGATATGTCTCTTTTGTGGGGAAAGAGGGGGTGCTCAGGTACTTGTTTCAGACGCGCGAATTCAGAAGAGCGGCTGTGAAGTTTAGTAGGGAACCCCCTCCAAAGCGGTTGGTGGACATGGATTCCCAGCGATTTCTGATGTCCACCATTTCAAAGCATCTATAGGTCCCCCAGTGCCCTTTCTCACCCTTTTTTGGGGGAGGGTTCTCCCTACTAAATTGACAGTAAACAATCGGGTACTAACTTCTTCTAACCTCTCTACTGGAGGACCTGGACATTCTCCCGAGTCAGCCCGGAGACCTCCCAGTCGACCCCTTCCGATCGGGTCCGATCCGTGTGCGTATGGGAAGCCTGCGAAGAGTCTTGTCTCTGATGTTTCGGGGGCTTTGCCGTATTTTCAAGGAGAGGCTACCCAGAATGAACAGACCCTACTTAGTTTGACCAGAGGTGGTTCATAATTAGCTCCGGTTAGAAATTAAATCTCTTAAGGTTGTCTAAAGTTTTTTACTTGGGCCCTTGTTATGGGCCGCTAATGGCTGAAAAATACATACACGATATATACCCCTTATGTATTGGGTACGTAGCACAAGGACCAGGTGGCTGGATGTGTGCGTTTCTCAACTGCTGCCTCTGGAGTAGCAATCTTTGACGACAGCAATCTTGAAAGGTTCCAACTCCATGGGGACTCTTCGTGCCAAGCCCCCAAACCCCGGTCCCAAAAATAGGGGCCCATTCAGGAAACCCACTGGCACAGACAGTTTTCTGAATGGGCCCCTATGTTTGGGAACTCAGATGTTTGGGTCCTTGGTTGCCCTTTTGCTGAAATCAAACTTGCAGTCTCTCTCGCCAGCAAACCACAAAAATAATGGCCCAGAACAGTGGCCCATGTAAAATTATTTCTGACTCACCAGCGTTGCTAGTCAGTTATGAAGTGGTGTATCCGAGTCAAACTCTCCCAAGACGGCCTTCCGATTTTGGTCCAAAGGCCCAGAACTTTGACGGCCTGAAGTATGGGGACGCCGAAAGCACCACGTGGGTCACGCCCCCTCGGCAGAAAAATCATCCGGGAGAGGAGAGGTTGTGTCCATCCAAACCAGAAGCCTCTGAGGCGTTGTTTGCCTCTCTGTTTGATGGGAGGGGTCTTCTGTGGTGTGTGGCCCTTTGTGAATGCAAACGGAACCAATTGTTGTAGGTTTAAGAAGCCTGAGCAGCTTGATTGCTGTCGGTTTCATGGTGGGCGGACCCAACCCAAGTCTTGTGCGGGGCGGCAACTAGAACATGTTGTTTTGTTTGTTTTCCCTGTTTTTTTTTCCGCATATTCCTTGGCTTTCGGATGGTTTTCAACAGTTTGTCTCCTAAAAATGAGAACATGTTGGGTGCTTTGTGGACAACTTGGATTTAGCTTGCCACTTTCCGGAACATTCCGAGAATCCTTTGACAGCCAGAAGCAAAGGTCTTGGTTGCAGCCACAGGTCAACTTGCTTGCAGGGTCCAATTTGGACATGGACATACCAACTGGTCATGAGTCATGGGGTATGCGGCCCGGAGTACATGAGCTACATGACTTTACCCGAGAAGCTTGGATCGCCGTTGAGCCGTTGAGTTGTCGAAATCGGCCGGCTTCAAACCAACTTGTGGGGCCCGGGGTCGGGTCCCTGACAGCTTTTCAACCATGACGAACTTGCTGTCAAAATGTTTGTTTTGAGAACCACGAGAGGGGAACCCGACAGCCACGAAGAGTCAGGCGGCAATCGTCCTTGAAGCAAAACTCAGTTTGATCCCGGGAGGTCGGCTCATCCAGGATTTCATGTTTCTTCTGGTCACCTGGCTCGAGATTTCGACCACCCAAAACCACTTCCTCCACTGAACATGAGAGCATCATCATGTTGAACCTCACGGATTGCTAAGAGGATCTTTCCTGATGTGATCCGGATCCCTTCGAACATGGGACCCCTTATGAATCGACCAGCTGCACAACTAGCAGGAGAACTATACACCTACCAGCTATCCAACCACTTTTCTATTTTGAAGAGCTTCGGCTAGTGGACAAACCCTTTGACATCAGGCACCAGCTTGGCCACGTGTGAATAGGTCCCTTCACCCGGAAAAAAAATGCCCCACCCCCTATTAAAACATTCTTCTGGAACCCGAACACTACTTATTCATGGGTTCCGCGGTCCTCGTCCAAATTCAGGGGCCAACAATCGTTACACATGGCAATTTCTATGTGAGGAGTTTCAATCGCAGAAGGCAATTGCATGTTTCGGATTTGTGCCGGTTTTGATTTGGCATTGGTTTAGTCTGATTATTATTGGTTTAGTGTTGCTTCGAACGTGCCTCTCCAATACAAATGGAGTTTGGGGCGGCAGTACATTGAGCATTGGCGAAATCTATTTCTGGTTTAGTATTAGGAGATCAAGGGGATTCCCCAAAATGCTCGCCCGTCTATTTGCCATCCTGCATGTACCTGAACCCACGTGTTGCCCGTTCAACGGGTCAAAGCAGCTAGAAGGCCCTTGATTCGCGACAGTTTCAGCCTTTTTCCGTGGGGAAGATCTGCACGGACCTCAGTGGGCACGGGGGGGGACCTTGAGAAACTTCGAAGCTAAGGATGCTTCTAGGTCGCAAGGGTTGGATACTTGTTTTTTTTTTCGGCCAAGCCAGCCAGTTCGCTAGGGTCCCCTGGCTGCCGAATGGTTTGATAGTATCTTTGTATCTGGGGTCTCAGTACACCCCGATGTCTCTTAAGCCAAGCGCTGCACCCCAAAGGACAAAGCCTTCCTCTCTCCAGCGCAAACTGACAGGCTTGGGAAGACTTTCCATAAGAGTCCCCCAGGTAGGAGCCTCACCCGAACCCGAACCCGAACCCCCCCCCCTAAAAAAATAAAGAAACCCGAACCCGAACCCGAACCCGAACCCGAACCCCCCCCCCCCAAAAAAAAAAAAGGAGACAGACCCGGACCCGAACCCCCCCCAAAAAAAAGGAGACAGACACCCGAACCCGAACCCGAACCCGAACCCGAACCCGAACCCGAACCCGAACCCCCCCCCCAAAAAAAAAAGGAAAGAAACCCGAGCCCAAACCCCCAAACTCCCGAACCCCCAAACCCCCGAACCCCCGAACCCGCGAACCCGAAACCGCGAACCCGATCCCGAACCCCAACCCAAACCCGAGCCCGAACCCCAACCCGAACCCGAACCCGAACCCCCCGCGCCCAAAAAAGAAACTCCCTGGTTCGCCGTTGTTCATGTTTTTTTCGGTCACTGTCAGGGAGTGGCTCAAAAATATGTCACATTTGCAGAGTGGCACAAACCGCAGTCACTTCATATATAGTTACTGAAATGGTGTCACAGTGACTGAAATCAACACATATGCATTATATGGATGTAATGGATACATATATAGTGCACTAGACCGCCATGGTTTCCCTTCACGTGCGCATCTTTTTCGCTCGGCTCGCCATGATGGATCTGCAGCCGTGCCTGGCAGCGGAGAGGACGGGATATAGCTTTACGTTATGTGCCACGAACATGCATAACATTGTATGCATGCATGCACGCATACAGTTTTCTCGTAAACATGTACGTACCTATGCATATAGGTCACACGCGTGAGTTCGGCCACCCGTTTGCAGGATTTGGGGCAGCGTGTACATCATCATCGGATGACGCAAAGGCGCGGGAGTTGCCGAGAGGGAAGCGTTGAAGATCAAGGGGAACACAGCATCCATGCCTATAGCTATAAATCCGATCATTTGTAATGGACAACTGTCCCTTCTGAACCCCGTGCTGGTCAAACATATGCGGATCCCTATGTGGTCCATTTTTGTGGAGCCTCCTTTGCGCACGAGCACTAACAGAAGTTAACGCGAATTCTATGCAATGGTTTGCCCAAGCCTTTAGAGACGCACGGGGTCAAATTCATGTACGCGTGGCTCCAACTTCACTTAGACACACGCAAATGTAAACTGAACCCTCACGCTTACTTCACGGAACTTCATGAGTATACTTCACCCTACTGAACCCTATTGTATGGTTCCATGAGCACCCCTGGCTGCCTGTTTTCCACCCCCCGTGCAAGAGGGTCCCAACATGTCCAGGGCCAAACTATAACAGCCCTTTGCGAACATTTCTCTCCATTGTCTCATGTGCGTGTTGCATTTAGACATGCGCAGAATACACCCGGATTTGAGGAAATATCGGCCGCGCATTGATTCCCATGGTCAATGATCTTGCAGTCTTATGTATTTCCACCGGTTTGTTGCAATCGCCCATCATGAAGCGTATAGTATAAGCAGATTTAGGGTTACAACTCAGTGCATGCATGCGGTTGTCCCACCACGCATGGGTCTTCTTGAGGCTTCAAACCATGTGCCATGTGTACATATATATATAATATAATATAGATATATCATATTTTACATATATATAAAGATAATATCGTATTACATATACACATATATGGATGCCTATGCGTGTGCTTTGATTGTGGCAACTCAAAAGGCCCCACGCACATGCCAAATCATCAGCGGTTGACGAGAGACATTTGGCTTATCCTGCTTTGCTTGGTCGTGGCTTGCATGGCACGGCTTGAGACGGACAAGGTGCTGGTGGACACGTGGGAGGCCAGCTCGACCATCAGGCGTAGGTTCAAGGGGGACAAAGCATGGCTTTTGCTTCCACCTAGCAAAGATCCTGAACAAGATGAAATGGAGAGGCCGATGAGCACGCGCTCTTTGGCCTTCAACAGCTCTGCAGTTGCAGCTTTGATTCGGCGCTTTGCGCCGCGCAAGCTCAAGGTGCGGATGCTTTTGGGCCCGATCAAGAGCCTTTATCATGTGATGGGGGCCCAGGCGGATCGCCGCCAGACGTACGTGGATGCATGGGTGCTACGCAGGCTCTACACCTATGCCCGCAGGAGACAGCAAGATGCGGCTAAGAGAAACCAAACGCCGCGCGAACCATGCCTGCACCTTGAGTTTGAATATGCATATATATATATATAATATTTGTTCCCTACATATTCCCGTATGCATGCAATGTTTCTTGATTTCTGCTGCTCACGCCAACATGGATCGATATCGTGTGGTTGCTTTTCGGACATTTGAGGATGAATCGGTGCGGGAGATCTTTCAGCTGCTGCGGGACTTTGGCCATGGGCCCTCTCGAGAAGATGAGTGCGACGAGGACACGGACGAGGACGGCGAGTCCGGCGAGTCCGAGTCGGAGGAAGAGAAAGACCCGGAGCTTTCTCCTGAGGAGGGCTCTATGGAGAACGTGCGTTTCGTGGGAGAGGAGCTGAAGGACCGCGTGTTGACGTGTTGATGCATGAATATATATATATATATATATATAGACATATAGTTCAAAACCATGCATGCGCTACAGTTGGGGCACCGTAATGCAACTCGATCGGATCAATACGTATGCAGGGTCAACTTGTTTGTCGGCGCATCTGGAACTCTGGAGGAGCTGGAAGGCAAGTCTGAGGCGGAGCTGCGACGCCTGGGGGCGATTGCGCTGGCGGAGGACGCGAGGCAGCAGGAGGCGGCCACGGTGGCGGAGGATGTGAAGAAGCAGGAGGCCACGGTGGCGGAGGATGTGAAGAAGCAGGAGGCCATCAACGATGAAGACCAGCTGCAGCTCCAAGCTGAACTCGACCGCCTTTTGAAGGACATTGAGATCGCTGAGAGGCTCATGCCCCAAAGCGTATATTATACATTGCATATATGGTTCTGTTCTTTGGAAAAGATTTGAGGCCATATGGAATCCCACCTCATTGCAAATATATAACGCACATGCACATGCATTGAAACACTATATGCATGCATGATGGATATAGTTTAAACTTCCATATTGCGGCAACATATGTGTTTGACTTGGGTGCCCATGTTCTCTAGCTTCATGCCCTTGCAGGCAGAATGCATTGGAGGGCGTGGCTGCGGGCGCTGATGCTGCCACTGTTGCTGGCGAGGAGTCATGCAGCAAGCTGACCGAAGGCCGTAAATCGGGGTGCTACGATCGATGCATGATCCTATAGG